TCTATATTTATATTATGATTTGTTTCAAATCTTTTCACTTCAAACGTTATCTTTTTGTTTTCCTTGTGATAATAAGTTTCTTTTGTTAGTTTTTTTCATTGTTGATTTGCGGGGTTTGTTTTTGTTTGTTGTTGTAATTGTGGTGGTGGCACAGGGCATAGGTGGAGGGGGGAGGGCGCGGAAACACACAACGAAAAAAAAGGGGGGGGGGGGGGGGGGGGGGGCAGTCTCAAAAAAAAAAAAATTAAAAAATGAGGGGAGCCCAGGTCCCCTGGGCCCTTCCCTGGATCTGCCACTAGAATTGACATTAGCAGATATTTTGTATACAGTAATAAATTTAATGTGCTTCTTGTTATGATTTCAGGTGGAGGCAGGGGTGGTCGCGGTGGTGGACGTGGCGGTTTTCGTGGGGGAGGTAGGGGTGGAGGTGGTGGTTTTCGTGGAGGAGGTAGAGGTGGAGGTGGTGGTTTTCGTGGGGGAGGTAGAGGTGGAGGCGGTGGTTCTCGAGGAGGTTTCAGAGGTGGTGGTGGAGGCTTTAGAGGTATTATAAAATTTGTTATTAAATAATGATCATTTACTTCGGTTTCTATTCTTGTACTTTGGAAAAGAGGCTAAAGCTAATCAAAATGCTTCATACTCTTGCTTAAATTTTGCCTCTTTCACCTTTCTAACAAAAGCAACCAGATATTATTTTCTTGCAAAGTGTTCTAGTATTACAGTCAAAAAATGTGTTTTTGACAGAATTATCGTAATAAGAAAAAGGAGAATTTGAAAAAAGAAAGGGAGAAATTTTTTGTAGAGTGGTTATTGTGCTGGATTATAATGACCCTAATACCTCAGTAGCTGGATATGTTTCTTGTTAGTTCCAAGTTGAATCCATTCAGCCATGCTTGTAAACAGCTAAATCAGGGTTAGCCTGCGTAGCATGGCGGTTTTGAAGAATGCAATACTGAGCGGCGAAGCCGCAAAAGCGAGCAAACAACCGCGAGAAAAATAAAAATTTTCTCGTTACTCCCCCCCCAGTCTCCTCGCAGTTTCTCTGCCCTCACCCGCCTTTATGGCTTTGCACGACCAACCAAAAAACCGTCATGCTACGTAGGCTAAATCAGAGTTTGCTTTATGCCAGTGTGTGCCAGTGTGGTGGCTGTGAACTTAAAGAAGTAAAAAATTGCTCTTTTCAGTAGCTTTCAGTGTCAGTGAGGGGTCTTTTGTTTTCTTTAAAGTTGCATTTAAAAAACATGTTAAAGTTTCTATCTTTTTTTAGGTCGTGGTAGGTGATTGCCAAACTCAATTGTCCTTGAGTGATCCATGGTGTTCTTAAATTCATCAGTTGTACAGTATAATACCAAGACCTCAAAAACGTCAGTGCGTTCTCTGTTACACGTGGTAACACAAATGGTCATCAGAGTAACTAATTCATGTACATGTACCGCTACCCAAGCTTACCATCAATGTAGTTCACCTCTTGTATTTTTATTTTCCTTTGTATTTGTAATATGAAAAACAATATATTTGTGGAAATAAATTTTATTCAGCATAAAAACTTGTCTTTTTTGTCCTAAAATTCACATACAGTCAACGGCGAACTAACCTACTAGACAGACACATGCCTAAAACAGTCATCTGGAAAACAGCCATGCCATTGTTCAGTTACTTACTTAGGCTCTCTATGGCAGATACCTTTTAAGATGGACACTATCAGTGCTGGTTCCAGCAACGATGGTCTTAAAGAAAGTTGTCCGTCGTTAAATGGAAAAAGCTTTTAGAAATGATGAGATAGAGATGAGAATAAGGAGTAACTCCACATGCTAAAATGTAAGTTTATTTGCACAAATCATCCTTTTTCTTGAATTATGCGCGCAAATAAAACCGACTGGTCCTTTCCTGCCGGATCTCTGATGTAGACTGACTCTAATGCCAGAGGTCACTTGAAGTGGGAATTAAAACATAACTGAATGCAAGGCTGGCAATACGGCAAAGGGCGGCTTACAAAATTTGCCTTCCTTAGGGCCAGAGCCTTACTGAAAAAGAGCTAAAATTTGAATTTAAATTTACATGAGATGTTAATGATAAACTGAAAATGAGAACAGTTGGCAATTTTATTGTTGGCATGACAACATGGTATTCATTCATTACTAGGGAGGTCTGCACAGGTGTGTGAGAGAGAGGGTGGGATAGTGGTGCAAAAGAGAGTTTTACAAAACATGGACCGACTCCTTGCATCTGAGGTCATCTTTGAACGATGTCTTCATTCTTGTAAGGTAGTGGTACAAGATTGTAGTCATGTCTGATTCGGTTCTTTAAATCCCGCCATTGATGTAGCGGCTCAGGTCTCGGTGGGATGAGTTCACGGTAGTATGTGCTACCAGTAGTGGTATTACAGATGTCTGGAACCCAGAACGCTTCACGCGCGTTTGCCGCGCGCGGGTCAGTCTTCGTCATGTTGCGTGTTTCCGAACGAGTGTTCGCGCGTGTCCCTGCCCTTGTCCCTGTTTTCTCGTTGTTTTCCATTTCGTTTTCCCTCTTACTTGTGTCTTTTTCCTGGAATGAAAACAAAGATCATCTCAACAGTTGCTGCAAACTAATCATCTCTCGGTAAAAAATCTTTAAAATCTTAGCTCCTGATTTGAACCCCTATAAACGGCCTCCTAGCCTCCATAAACATTTTTCTTTTTAGCGCTTTCACCCCTTCGATTATGGTGGCGCTCAATAACGCCTTTGCAGTTTTTATTTTCGTTCCCTAGCTCGAGCTCTACCGGACAAAGAAGAAAGTCTGTGGAGAGACTATTTCATAACCTTCAGCCACTTTTCCTTTTCTTGTCGGAACATTCACCCTTGTTTAACCTCCCTACTACGGCTACGTATCTATTTTCCCTGGGTGGCCTTCTAAGAGAGGTACGAATCCCGGGGGGTATTCCCATATGAAAGGGGTGGAGATACTCGTCGTGTCGTTTAGGGGTATAAATTTCGGATTGTGGTCTCACTTAGGGTGTTCTCGGCAAAACGCCATCATATTTAGCCGTGAAGGTCTCGTTTAGGGTTGCACGCGAAAGATATATATTTTCTGTGTTTTACCATGGTCTCTTTTAGGGTTCAAAAAAAGCTTGGGCCCCGCCCAGATCGGTCTCCTTTAGGGGTTTAATTCAAAATTTCAGACGAGCATCCCCACCCCTTTCATATGTGGAGTCCCCCCCGGGGGGTGGGGTACGAATGTACTTGAAAATTTAACACTGATCCGTTATTTGGATCTATGCTATCGGTAAAGCAAAGGGCTCTATTTAATGTCATAGTTATCTATTTTTACAAACACACAAGTACACCCAGAGTAGTTCTGCTTCTTTCATCAGATCTAGTTTCAAGGGAATGCTTTCTCATTTATTTGTTCATCTTGACTTGCCAGTACACTCACGTTTTGATGAATGGGTTACTTTCTAACGGAACTGTGGTGCTGCTTCGGTGGGGGAGTGAAATGCGAAGGGTTGGTTTATTTATTTATTTATTTATTTTTGCCCTAATCAGAGTGCTGTGCAGGCCGCACCTTTAAATGTTTGGCGGAAGAAAGCATGCAAAAATAACCAGTACTAGTAAGGTGGAATGACGTTGTCCTAGTCACGAAATGTTGTAATAGATGATATACATGTCCCACTAAATGTTTATCATGAACAGAAGTTTTATATAAGGTTGCTCCAAAATTGTTACTTTAATGTGTACAACCAAGAGCGTGCTAAGCTACATATAATGCCATAAACTAATATGCTTTTCTTCAAAAATTCGGCAATGCTGCTCCATTCCAAAGTTTAGTAAACAAATGTAATAATCCATTTCTCTAGCTATTGTTTTACTTTTCAATGTGTTGAGCAAACATTTTAGTTCTTCCGTAACCGATAGTTGAAGTAATCAGTAAAAGTTCAGTCTGACTCGGGTTGCGCAAAAGTCACTATGTGTATCAGCGTAAGAATAAACTTCTTATTTGCAATAAATGGTGAGCCATGAAGAAAACAAATTCATGACTGCAAATTCGAATTCGAAATTAAGGTCTTACCATTCTAGCAAGCTTTTGGCGTTTGAGATTTTCCAAAGCGAGATGCTTTCTTTCGATAACTCGAAATCTTCTCTGAGCCTCTTGGTGGTATGCCATTCCATACATTTTCTGAACGGAACTTTTTTTATATTTTCACGACAAAACACCTTTGTGCCTGGCAAAACGATTGCAAAAGACAGTCTAGCTTCTATGGTATTACACGTGATTTAACATCCTATCTTCTTAATACTTTGTTTACGAGGCATTGTCTTTTGTAGATTCTTGAATCCCTTGGGAGGTAATTTCCTTGTTTGTGGTTGGTCAATAAATTTCTTAAGTGTACTGTAAACAAATATCAAAAGTGCAAAGTACAGCGAAGTACCCTCAAGGTAACACAAAACTTTGGAAATGATATTCAGAAAACGTCCAAAAACTTGCGCGATTATTTTTATGCATGCAGAACTGAAGCAGTTTCTGTCCTTCGCGCATCTCTAACAGGAGTTTTTTCAATCCACAAAACTTTGCAGACAACAGTCCTGACTTCGTGATTTGAATGTCTATGTACTCTACTCAAGTACAAAGGCTTGTTTGCACCAAGCAAAGAGCTTTGTCTTACTGTATTGATAAAACGGGATTTTGTAAATAAAAGATTTCATTTACGCCTCACAATGAAGCTCTTAATCTTTTTCATTAGCACCACGAAGGATTCTTTTGACAGCTAGGGACTCCCAAGAGAGCTAATAAGACAGTAGCCTATGTTAAACCTCATTTGCCCGGCCGGCGTCTCATTTACAGTTGAACGTGCTTATACTAGTCGGTAAGGCAAAAAGAAAGGAATCCATCATGGATAGTATGGCTTATCACGCAGAAGCTCAAAGAAAACAACGAGTTATAGATAGAAAACACGAGGCTATGCGCAGGTTGAGAGAGAGAGCGGTAAGAATTGAGTTAACAGAGAACAATATTTAGCCCCAGAACAGTTGTCAAGGGAATCATGTTCCATAGCAACACCGTCAGATGTAAGCTTGTAACAACTTTTCTAAATCACTTGCTTTTCGAGTTAATTCCATTACACATTTAGTAGCTGTTAGCATAAATGCAGAAAAACATACAACTGTACCTAGTTTTCTAAGGATATTCATAGTACGATAAAGTAAAAGGAAAATAATTTGGCAAAAGCTCTTTGCCCTATTGCTGCAGTCACTTGCATTTAAACTTGAAACTCGTGCTTTTTTACGTTTTACAGAAATTGTAGGAACAAAATAGGCATTAGGAGATTAGTTCGAGCCATAGTATTGCGTACTCTCAATTATTCCCGACTGCAGCGGCAGCGGACACATGTGGAATTTTGTCCACAGACATCTAGTTCGGAAATATATTTAGTACTCAAATCAAAAAAGAGAATTATGTCTCAGAGAAGTTATTTTTTATTTAATAAAAACCCTCGACTGCACTATTGGGATGTATTAATGGCAATCATTTTCTTCAGAAGCTTTCTTACTTGGCCACCATCTTCTTAGCCTGTGCACAGACGCCCGGCCCGTGCCCTAAAAAAAATCAATCGGGGAGAGAGTCTCTCTCTCCGATTTGGTTTTTAGGAAAGGGAACGGCTTGTATATTAGGAGTAAGTTTTATCATGCTGACCATAAAGTATAGCTTGAAATCATTATTTCTTTTTTCTACCTGGAAATGCCGTTACTTTGAATGGTTTTATTTCACACCATTGTCGTAACCTTGTTTTTTTGTTTACTTTTGTCGCTTGAATAGTTGAACTAATGAATAAATTCCAAGCACGTGTGTGAGTGCGCACAATGCGTAATTTCTGAGCAAAGAATACTGAGTTCTGAGTATGTTAACCATTATTTACTGGAAGGTGATAAACTGATGATGGAGAGCATCGTCGACCCTCTAAAACTACATATACTCAAGAGCTTTAGACTTTGAGCTAATAAAGGCTAAAGTGCATGGCGGATTATAAAGTTTCTTGATGGTTTAATAAGATGTTAAGTATATTTTAAACGCTTTCAAAATCAAAACAATTAGACGGTTTTGCGAAAAATGCATATAATATATATTGGGTGGGAAAAATGCGCATCAATTTCTGTTCCGAATATGCAAAATTGACGTCAGATAATTAGCATTCGATTATTCAATAGACGACAATGACGTCGCTGAAGCTAATTTTGCTAATTGAACAAGTTTTGCTATTCAGTCAGAAAAATCCAGCTACGGCAAACGGCAAACGGCAAACGGCAGATTCAAGTTGAGAATTACTCAAAATAGAAAATGAGCAGAAAAAATTGAAAACAGTTCAAAAAATTCTTATGGATAAAAAATTGCGTGAAACTACTCATTTATGTGTAGAAATAATGAACAGTGGCCTGAATTTCATCCGATTACTTCGAGTCGTTATTACTCCCTCAGAGAGGAGAAAACGACTCGAAGCAATTGGATGAAATTCAGGCTAAATTAACAGTAAACGACAAGGAAAGGGGAAACTTGGTCACGTGGTACAAATTCGCATTCGCAATTTGATTTAAACGTAATGCTTAACCTCTCTAATACAAAAGATAGCATGCAAGAGTTAGCCCAGTTAACTACAACCGCCTGCGAAATTGGCCGTCAAATGTTTTGTAACAGCGATCTGAGAATTTGCGGAACATTTGTCGCTTTCCTGTGTCTGCTCGGCGCGCACACGGCCCTCCTATCCCGTGGAGTGTAAGGGGAAACCCTTGCCGCCCCATAGTACTTTGCAAGTATTTGTCCTTAGATACCAAACTGGTAACAAATCCCTTTGAGAGCCATCGTGGTCTTTGAGAAATTGCTTTGTAAGTGCTAGAGATCTTGTGGAATTTATACTCCTAACGACTAAATGGCTGCAGCTTATCACATGGAAGCTTTGAGAAAACAGAGGATCATCGAAAGAAAGCACGCAGCTTTGGCGAGGATCACAATATGTCAGGTTGGAATATTGTCGTGAAGCTTTATCCGCCGTATCGTGTCATCTGTGTTTATGGTGTTTAACTATAGCGTTTTGGTGGATGTTTGGTGTTAAAATTATCCCGCATCTTTGTTTTACATTCCTTACTTTAGTCCATAACTGCACAAAATGGGCAAGGTTCCTAATATCTCTTGAGCATTGAATCTTGAGCATTGTTTATTAAGACTCGTACCGGCGTTAAATCGAAGGAATGTCAAATTCTTAATGAATTCTTTGAGTATTAGACGCCGCTCTGATATACACGCAAATAGCTAAAATATGAAGAATTAAACGTAACTAGCCTGTCGTTACGTTGTATTTTCAAAGACCTTGGAACTTCTCGCCTTTAAAGTTAGAAGTGAAATTCCACAAAAATTCATGGCAAAAAGTTGACAAAACTTCTCAGCTTCGCTTCATCGCACCGAACTATGGTAAGCCAGCGACTCCGAACAATGCATATTTTACAGAGCAAAGTCAAAGCGCGAAATCGATCTTGTTGACACGAAAATATGAACGTCGAGACACGAATTCCTGAGGCGGATCGAAGCTTTCCTAACTGTATCATTCATTCTTTCTAGCGCCGTGGGCACGAATTAAGATAAACTAAAATACAAAGATGAACTAAAAATAATTTACAAGAGAATTTCTCAAAATATGTAACTTGGAAATTAAGAATGTATAACAACATTTTTCTCATAATTGCCTAAAATATGCTACCAACTAAAACTATAGATACATTATACAACTAGAAATTAAAAACTGTTTATGGCGGTAGGACTAAAATTAGAATAATTAAAAACTGTTTATCGTACCGTAGGACTAAGTTGAACATAAGTTAAACCTGGTTCTCATATGCTGCCGATGCACCTATGACATGGCCGCTGGTACTGCCTGGGACACTGTTCCGATATAGAACAGAAGTGGCGGGCAACATTGCTCATCCAAGTCTTTACCCCTGGTATGCCTGCAAAGTTTACGCAAGTTCAACTTCGTAGGCATGCTGGCAGTAGAGCTCTGCGATGGCTCTAGTTGCTGGTGGCGTATATTCTCATTTGTCTGAGAAGGGTCCCAGGCGGTGCCGGCGGCTACTTCACAGATACATCGGCAGCATATGGAAACCAGGCTTTACAGTCTCTCCCATGTCCCTCTACAACAGCAGATATGTTTTTTTTGCATATCATACTTTTGTATCATTTAAATCCCTCAAAGAATTAGTTGTTTAACTGATCAAAGTATGTTTCTGAGGTGACCATTCTGTTAATTCTCACAACGTTTTGACAATGTATTGATATTGATAGGAGAGAATTAATGTTGGCCACTGTTAAAGACTTAAAGAGGAATCTTAAAGCAAAGTTTGGATCTCTTTTAAAACTCATCCTATAAAGATGCTATCCTGAGAAAACAGTCAACATTTCACAGAGTCACCTGGTTTCCCCATGAAATGACATCTCAGTGGCCTGCCCCCTGCCCCCACCCCAAACCAAACTGACGCCCAAAGTGCCGAAAATTGAGACCGGGCACTTCACTTATCTGAAGGTCTGGATCTGCCACTGCATCTGAGGAACGAGCATAGAAATTGCATACTGATGACATGTCACTAGTACTACCAAGATCTGGGTAGTGGTTTTGATTGGATGAAGCAAATTTTCAGCCAATCAGAAGCACTACCTGGATATGGGTAGTGATGCATCATCAGTATGGAATTTGTATGTTTGTTCCTTAGATTTCATTTTTCTGGGAAACCGGTGGTGACGCGTGAAATGTTGGCTATTAGAGGCCTCTTGTTTTTGCTCAAAATGTATCAATGGCCCCAAAATTAATCATTCTGTCATCTTTCTGCCTCAATTCTAGGAATTGGAACTGGAAAGAAAAAGGCAGCAGGAGGAAAGAAACAAGTTACAAAAAGATGAAATGGAAAAGGAGCGGGGAAATATGAGAGAAAAATATTTGATCAGTATGGGGCGCACAGGAAGACCAGGTGTCATAAATGCCAACTATGTAAACATGATTGAAGAACACAAGAAGAGTATTTCCCAGAGAGATTTACGCCACCAAGAAAAGATTTTGCGTGACAGCTGCTTGTACATGGGGCATGTTAATGACAAGTTTTTGGCATGAAAATCTCAGAATTTAACAGATATGGATCTAATATTTATTTGCCAAGAGAAAATTATGACATCTTTAAATCAGATTTTTGGCTAGTTTTAATTTCCTAAGTTGTTTAACAGTTTTTGAAATGGATGTTACGATAAATAATACTAACTTTGTGTGCCACTTAGGCTGCATGTTTAGACAGGTTTTCTGCTCTTAATAAGATTTGACAGCCAAGGGAGGCCATTGATGTAACATGCAGCAAGCTGGACACAGAACTATGAAATGCTGTTCCTTTTACAGCTATCTTCTAATTAATGCACATAATATGCTGGTGGTAGTCATCAAGTATAAGGTTTGCCTTCAAACAAAAATCTGAGTCAAATTTCATTCCTAAAAATATGTAAGGTGTTTTCCTTTAATGTCCACTCAACGAGGAAAAACATCCTGCTAAAGATAGGGTAGGATAAGATAGATAGGCAGAAAATCCAACCGGCAGAAGAAGTGAAAACTGGAGGTTTGCGGGAAGTGAGAAATGCAGCAATGAAATTTGTCTTGGTGATATCCTACTTTACTCATTAGAATCAAGATTTTTGAACCCTTTCATCTGGGCATGGAAAAAGTGTAGAACAGGGGGCATGAACAATCAGGGGTAAAATACAGTGTGTTTGGCTGACAGAATTAACCATTGGCTCACATGTAAAATTGGGAGGTTTGAAAATATCCTCTTTTCAAAAGCCAGGATTCTGCTGACAACTGGAGAAAAGCGTACCAGTTTACACTAGGAATGAGCTTCAGGCAATGTAAGTTGCTGGAAATATAGATAATGGCTATTACTGTAATAATATTACTATTATTGAACACTTCACTGGAAATGTATATGCTCTGTTTGTAATAAATTTGTTTTTGCACTTTAAAAATACAGTTGAACCTTATGGAAATGTGCCTATCTTTGAAAGGGGATTCTCTTGTTCCAACAATACCCACTTCATACCATCCTAGCTAGCTATATAATACAGACACCTCCATATCGGGGGCCTATGGGCTCTTGACTCCCTTTGATGTCTGTATTAAAAAGGTTATTTGTACAGTCACTTTTCTCTCTTCACTTTGCATGTCACCTTCCTTGCACAGGGTGGTTACTTTCATACGCTCTTAAGTAATCTGCTCGCTCCTATAGCCCTGGCCCCGGTTGTTCAAACGCTGGATGGTGCTATCCACCGGATAAATCACTATCCAGCGGATAGCGTGATTGGTTTCCCTAATACTTATCCGCTGGATAGTGATTAATCCGGTGGATAGCGCTATTCAACGTTTGAACAACTGGGGCCTGGAGAACATAAGGGACTTTGCATACTCTAAGATGGCACTGCCATTGTCCCCTTGCCCATTCAAACCACTTAGCAATCAAGTTTTCCTTTGCTTTTAACAGTCCACAACTGTGGTCAAATCCAGTTGTCACACAACACTGTACTCCTTCCTCAGCAATGCACAATGACTTTATTACTGACTTTATAGGAAACTAAGGTTTTCCTAGTCAGAATAAATTAAATACGTTAATAAACTGCCGGTTATTGTTGTTTTCATTTTCCACTGTATGTATAGAATACATACAAAGGATAAAAGATCACAAAAGACAAAGGGGTACTTAATAAGACTTAATCAACCAGAGAGAGTTTATTAAGTAGAAAAATTTTTTTTTCACTGGGTGTGGTTTAAGAGGACACGTGTCAATTTGGTTTCTAAATCTTCTGTCCACGCTCGCGCTAAATTTACGTGGAAAAAATTTCGAAGATATGAAATAACATGGTTGCCACAACCAGAGGTTTCTGGAATTCCCTGACTTTTTCCTGACTTTTTCCAGACAAATGTAAAATTTCCCTGATCAACCGATTTAACATACAATTTAACAAATTAGTCCTGATAATGCACTCAACCGGGAGCGTGAGGCTCTCAACCTTCGCCCATTTATTTATGCTACCAGCAAGTCACGTGCAGCGTACATGAATTGATAGTTCCTTATCATATAAACGTGCGAAAAAAGATTAATTTTCTTGAAAACCCAACATTAGCTTGTCGTTCAATTTCATGAACAATATTCTACCAAATTATACAACATGATTCATTTTCGTAAATGTACAAAAAACTGTTAACTTTTAGAAAACAATAAAAGTCGAGGGAAAAGAATAAATGTGTACTCTTGAATTTATTTTTCCCTGACCTCTTTGAAAGACTTTAATTTTCCCTTGACTAAACTGAAATTCCCTGACTTTTCCCCGACCTTGAGGAAATTCTTTCCCTGACCACTTCCTCAGGGGCACCCAACGTCAATTTTCGGAAAATATCTGTTCGGAAGACGATTTGAGACCCGAATTTTCGGAACATTTGTTGTAAAATTTCTTACTTGCCTGCCTCTCCTAGGATTTTCAAACAACTAAAAAATTGGTATAATTGCCCATTTTTAACGGATTTTTACCCTAAAAAGTTCACCTAGAATTTTCGGGAGCCTTTTCTGGCTGAGATTTTCGAAAAGGTAAGTTTGGATCACTATAGTCTTCAGATCACTGGACTTTCAACTAGGAAATCCGAACAGATGAAAAATTTTTAGGGGATAAGAATATGCCTATAAAGTCTACCGTTTAAATACTAAAATACGTTTAACAATGCTATGTTTAAGTGGTTTTGAACTCTTTTCTCGTTGGGTGCCCCTGCTTCCTGACCTAGGCCTGTGGCACCATGAATAATGAACAAAACAAGAAAGACTCAAGTAGGAAAACAATGCAAAAGCATTCAATGTAAAAGAGCTACGTTTTAACTGAAAAAGTGCAATTCTCTATGAAAATGAGCTTTCATATAATTTTCCAAAGCAAAACATAGTGGTTTCCCTCTGATTTTGCCTACGCAATCACACGAACCACGTTTCACATGTTGCAAGTTACATTCTATTCGTGCGAGAACAGATCAGATCAGAGATTTTCATACCCCAGTGAACTGATAAAAATTCAATCTGATTTAATCGAGTCACCTGCGTGGGACCAATAAGAGACAGGATGTTTTGAAAAGTGCGCAAACCTCTGGAAAATTCGTAAAGATGCCCTAGTCAGCTGTTTTATAAAGTTTTATAAAATTTTATAAAACAGCTGACTAGAGTGCCCCTCCGCTCGTGGCCTGAGATTTCCCGCGAAATGAAACCAGTGGTCATCAGTGTGGGGGGATGGGGCGAGATTTCGGCTGTCTTAAGACCCCTCTTATTTTAAATGACTTTACTTGCTTTCTCTCAAGCTTTGTACGGACAAAACAGGTCAGCTCAAACCACCAGGAGCTGATTAGGAGTCGGGTTGGAAATCTTGTGCATATACATCCTGGATATACATACGTGGTAGACGTGGACGTGGTAGGGGAGAACGACTGGCAACACAATATAAAAATTCTAAATCAGTTGAACAGGCTATAAAAAGGAGAAGAAAAATGGTATCGCTTCAAATAAGGACCATATTTTCTCTAGGTTTACTATAAAGTAGAGAATAGTGAAGTCACGCTCAATGACGTGATAATAATAGCACTCACGTTGCAGACGGAGAGAACGAAGACGGGTGGGCGGTGCTTCAAATCTCACCGTACCGCGCCGTGTCTAATCTGTCTCACATACGCGCCATTATAAGAGTTTGAAACGTAAACAAGGGAGCCATATTTGCATCTTTACTTCTGCGAGCTATATCATGACTTAAAGGGGAAAGGCTAAAATCAAAACAAAATTCAAGAAACAGAGACAACAAGAACCAGATTGTGAGGACGAAAAACTTGAATCAATCACCATTAGGTACAACGGCAAAGACCATGTGCTCGAGCTCCCGAAGAATGGTGACGCTAAAATCATCTGCCAAAACATCAAGCGCGAAACTGGCGTGAAAGGCTCATTCTATGTGCAATTCGGTGATCAATCAAGCAACTATATTTACTGCTCGAGTGTTACTAGAGGAAATATAGCTAAAGTCGCAGAGAAACTTTTTAGCGTCACGGGAGGAAATGGTAAGTTCTTTGAATAATTTCCTGGGCCGCGAAAGTTTCTAGAACTCGCACCTGATCTGAACCCATGAAAGGAAAGTATCAACACTGGTTTCTGAAAGAGACGTTTTGGCAGTATTTGGGTGAACGTAAAAACGTGAGATAATTTTTCCGCGAAGTTTTGTCGCTGTATAAATCTATGAACTGAGTGAACAAAGCCCTGTCCATTCATATCCAGATTTGGAATAAATCGGCCAACATCTTGTTGTAGGTTCAAAAAAACTCGCGTCCAAACGTAGCCTCCCCCCTTGATGCGAAGGATATGAAGGAGAGTTTTTTACACGGATTTACCTCGATTAATCTAAAATTCTTCCTCTGATGTTTGGCTAGCGCTCATTCCTAGGTACCGGTGCGGCAGAAAAACGTGACGTGTTTAGATATACACGTGTTTCTATCGGGTTCGGGGGGGAGGAGGGGGTGGGGTGAGATGAATCCCCAGAAGAGTTGGGCTATGCATGGCCAGAGAAGTAGTTTTTGTAGGCATAAATATGTTTTGGGCCCGACTCAGACCCATTTTAGCCCAATCCGCTAAGGAGGGTTAAAATGAGCTCTGGAGAGGACCCAAAAAATAGTTATAAATGAGTAACAGCAACATACTGCTGGGAGGGGGGACCCTGAGATGGACTAGTATCCGATCCAGGGGGGAGTAACAACACCCCTAAGTATGCTTCATGTTAAGGATACTGGGATAAGCTCCAGCTGTTTGGACCTTTGGCTCATGTATGCCTTTTTTTTGTACACCACACATGTAGACAGCTCACCACCAAGGTTCAATGTCATCCAGTCCAGAAAATATACTCTGTCCAAGACACTGCATACCCCATTTATAAGACTGAAGACCCTGTAAACTCATATAACCTGTTTGGCAGCATTTTTAGGTTAATCAAGGGAGTGCCCCTTAGGTGTAAAGAATGCCTACTGTATTATTATTATTGTAGACCTCAGTTATGTCATTGTCTGTTCATAGCATTATAATAAGATTAGATGAGGCTTTTCATTTAATATTTGTTTTTATCATTCATTTTAGTAAAAGCTGATGTGATTCCAGTGTCATTCACTAAGAGCTGATTGAGGGAAAACAGAAGATGGCAAAAATGATTCTTCTGAGGGACCTTTGTCACCCAAAGAAGTTGTTGCTGTACCATTGTTTTCAGTATCAGCAACAAGTTTCAAACCGTCATTAAATACCAATTATGACACTTTGTTATCAAACAACCAGGACATACAAAGTATGTGACAACTTTAAAATCGACCTTTTTTGGTTACACAACTATACAAACTATACCTGCCACTTGGTCTTGTCATGACCAGAATTTCCGAAAATGCCTCAACATCTTCAGAATACTTCCATTGATGACATTGATTCCATTGAGACTTTCAAACTTAGCTGGAAATGTCCGAAGATGTTTTGACAACCTTTGAGCACTTCTGAAGCTATCAAAAGGTGACTGTCAATTTTAGCATGTTTTAATACAGTTGGGACACATAGTCAACATAAAGTGCTTAATATTAGACTCACTTGCGTAAGCAGTGAGACTCATAATCTGCAACGAGTTTTTCACCCCAGGGGTAGTCCCTTTTATAGGTTATATAGGGATGTGCCACAACAAAGGGTATGGTTTTTTTTAGCCATTTTGGTCTGAAATAGGGTATGGTTTGTGCACTCTAGTCTTGAATTGGATATGTTTCTTAGAAGAATTAGCTGCTTCTTCATCATTTGGCGATAAGACCATTTCCCTTTTAATGTTTACGCCAACTACCATGTACGTGCTGTAACAGCTTGTCATGCACTCCAGTCATGCACCGGGCTCTAGGGCTTCAGGTCTGAAATAGGGTGGGGAAAATAACAGATTTTGGTCCGAAAAAGGGTAAGGGTTTCTTTTTTCCCTCCCAGTTTTTTCTGGAAGTACCCCCCGGAATTTTTGGTCGTATTTTAGGACACAAGCAGGTCACTGTGCCAGGACTTCCTTGCGGAGACCATGGAAACTGGGACTAAGAATCGTTGCGTGATCAAAGCCAGGAATATTTTGCGAAGAAAGCTTAGGAAAGATTAAATTTAGAGCTTTTCCAAAACGTGTCGGTCCACAAATTCTATCGCTTGAAAGCGTTGATTACTTTGGAGCAAGTGAACACTACGGAGTAGTAAAAAAAAATAAGAATCTTAATTAGCAAAATTGCGATGGTCGGATGTTGTAAACTTTCACTGTATGCAAATGATTCTTGGGATGAGCATGCAATTTATTTTCGGCAGTGATTGAAATGACGTGCCATGTAAATCACTTTCTCGAAATCCAGCAATGATGTAATTTCTCTGGGTTGAGGTCCTTGAATTTCTGTGTATTCATACACGCATATAGCCTGCTACCGCAGAAGTGTTTTTGGTCATCGCTAACACGCGTACTAAATCAATTCAGGAACAAATAAGAAGTATGGACATCGATAAAGTAGGAAGTAAAACACCTTTAGCGAGTAAATCATGTTTCTTGTAGAATTAATCACCTCCTCATTTCTGGATCTAATCTCCAAGCAGGCGAGACCTGAATGCCGCTGTAAGCGCGTTCTTGTTTGGAATATTTTCGGGGAAACTGATTTCTCATGTGTTAAAGAACAATTTGTCAGGATTTTTGAGTCCTTGATGTGTGAAATCACTGTATTTTGTATGCAGACGTGAAACTCACACATAATGCTTGAGAGCTGGCAGGTATTCAAATGTAATTGTGTAGCAAAGATCACTTGATGTTTGATGCAGCTAAGTGTTGAACATCATAGGGAATGTTACCCAAAGTGTTTTAATATGATTCAATGATCAAATTGTTCATTTCACTTGGTTTGATGGAGAAATTTAGCTAATCTTAAATTAATTAATAATTATAATATATTATTATAAACAAACTTTCTGTGGGGCAAGTTTCATTTGATTAGCAATATGACACTTTGTAACCTCGGAAAAAGTGTATGACTTGGATTTGTACTGTCTATGACTTGGAGTTGTACTGTTTTGATCATTGAAATGCAAACCATTTTTGTTTTAAAAATTCCAAGGAAAACATTTTTCTGGGGCACCTTAAGAACTCCAGCAGAAAAGGATTTTGTAACACCTTAATGTGAATTATTTTGACTAACAATAATAATCAGTTTGTTACTGCTGCTAGACTTTGATCCTTACTTACAATTTGTTAGTTGATGCAATTGGCTCAATTGCTGCATAATTTTGTCCACAGTTACATTATTAAAGGTATTCCCCTCTGTTAATATTAGTTTTTGGTGAGTTTTTTGACAGCTGCAAAATTAAGTTGTAAATCAATGCAAAAAACACCTTGTGATCAGTCAAAACTGATGAGAATGTGAATGGCCATCTGCATGAAAAAACTGAATGGACGTGCAGGCACCGCAAGCATTTATATAATCCATAAAGCTGAGACCTTTAAGCCTTTAGTAGGGTCAGCTAGGGTTTTGGGTTATGGCATATGTACTAGCCTGTTCCAGGCTCTCAGATAGTGGGAAAGGCGCGAAAGAGTGTGGAAGGTGAAAGGCCCACACGGACCCGACTACCGTGAAGCGTGCTTCGAACAGCCTACATACATAGAGAAGTGAGAATAACAGTGGCAGATTTAAAGGAGGGGTCCAATCCCTCCCTATAACCCGGCCCCTTTTCACTTCTCTTTTACTCTTTCTCCATGTAAATGTCTGATTCACCATTTTCACATAATTTTCGGTTACCCTCTTCCCCCCAGAATTTTGCACAAGCATTGTGTTCAGTTTCTCTAAGACAACTGTATTACCTAGGAGAAAAATTGGAAACAATGGTTATGCACAATTTTGGGATAGACAATAAGTTGCACAAAAGGGGTCTATTACCAGTTAACCAACCTATTACCTCTCCTGCTGATTGTCAGAACGCCAGATGTAACTCACAAGGGATGACAGCTACAAATATCTAACCCTTTAAACCCCAAGAGTGATCAGCATCAAATTTCTCCTTATAGCAATGCTTTGTAAAACAGAGTAGTCATAAGAATTAAGGACATGATCACACAAAATGTATTTTGCTTGATACTTAATCAACTTCTCCCCACTACCTCTATAGAGCGTTTTCACATGACGTCACGGCAGCCATATTGGTGTTCCAAAACAATGAAACGGCGGCCATGTTGGCTTACCCAGAAAATCCTCTGGGAGTTGAACTCTTTTCTCATCATGAAATGATTTCTTTTGTTGCAATGAATTAGCATAGATGCTGGCCACGTGGGTGAAAACGGTCTATAGTAAATGAATAGGGTTGACAAAGGAGAATTTTAATTTTGATCTTAGGGTTTAAAAGGTTAAAGAATGCATTGAAATGCAAAATGTTTGGCACTGGTTCTGGGCTTGTTTTGCAAGACTAAGCGCGTTTCAGCACAAACGGAAAAAGTAAAGGTAAGTTCAGTAATACCTCCTTGAAGGTGTCACTACGTGACCAATTTGTTTTCACTGTTTTAAGTTTGCAATATCGCGCGTGCCCTCGCATCGCACGCGTTCTGTGATCCACCTTGGCTCGTGATATTATGCACGCTGCACGCTCGATCATCGCAAACGTACTTTCCTCACTCTCTTGGGATCACGTCTGTACGATGGCTCTCCATTTTCACCTAAAAGGAGTTTTACTGATTTGAAATCATGACTCGAAACAAAGTAAATCCAACAAAATTCCGGAAACAAAAGCGACAAGCGACAGAAAATGACAACTTCGAACTTGAAACAATCACGCTTTTGTACGATGGCAAGGAGTACATTGTTGAGTTCCCTAAAAACGCAAATGCCACTGTCATCCGCCAGACCATCAAGCATGAAACAGGCGTGAAAGGCTTATTTTATGTGCACTTCGGAGACCAGCTAACTAATTATTTACACTGCTCGAGTATTACTGGGGGAAATTTAGCTAAACTTGCAGGAGGAAATGGTAAGTTCTGGTTTTTACGAGTGGGGGCCTTTAAAATTCTAAATCAATTAGCATTTTTGTATTTTTTACATCGCAGTGAAGTCGTAAAAAGGATTCAACGGTCGCTGATACATAAACTTGTACCCCAACACATTTTACTTCAAACTTTCAGTGTACGTCGTACGAATAAGACTTTGGTGTTGGCCATCATGACCCATCAAGTGCAGCGCTAAGAGATTGAATAATTGTTTTTTTTAGTAATTTTAGTTTTCCCCATTATCGCATTAGTTATGGTTGCACTGTCTAGTTTTTGTAATTGTCACCTATTTCCATTTTTTCCTTTTCTTGATGTTTCCGACAATATCATACTTCTGTTACTGGTCTGGTAAATATGATTTTATTTTTAGGGATCCAAGCAAAAGTTCATGTGATTCCATTATGTGTACGCTGAAAGTTGGCACAAAACAGAGGAAAAAATCAGAACTTTCCCAAGGTTCCTGCATTCGCCACCACTCCAAAGGAAAAGAGTTCACGTTGAGTTCGCGTGACAATTACGTAACAACCTTCTGGACAGAGATAATTTTACTTGAGCCAGCACGCAAACGATATTGCTGGCATGAATTTGCCTCGCCTCACTTCACTAATAAATATTTATTGCCGAGCTGTAACAATCTGGCTAGAACCAGGAGCTTTTTTCTGAAGACGTTAAGACTATCACACACGTTTCTTGGTTAAAAATTGGAATAGAGAAGAAGGAGCCTGCAAAAACGAGGAAAAAGTCTCAGGATCTCCCAGGTGTCGAAACTTACATTTCAGCTGATAAGAAAGGGCAAATATGATCTATTATTGCGAAACTATGAACGATCTAATGCATGGCATATCACATGGCTATGCATTATGTATCACTTTGATACCTTTTAACAAAATTTAATTTTTAGCCTGTATAACACTGGTCTCATGTTACACTTAAGGCAAAAAGACAACAATTTGTAATAAATGTTTTAAAATACCAACATGTTGAAGTGAAATGGATTCTTTTAGCTTAAAATCCCTTTCATATTGTATTTATGCCCTATCTATAACAATGCCACTGATTTATTTTTTCCTTGTCTTTCTTACATTTTATTTGTAACTTTTAACTGTAAAACTTCTAACGTGTATGTTGTGACAACACATTATCTTCTTGTCATAACAGCTCCAGGCTAGCCTCTCAGATAGCTTTGGCAAGGCAGTTAGCCTGTGTATCCCTCCCCCTAGGAGGGGGGCGGGACAGTTTCCAGCTACGTATATAGATACCATTTATTTTACTGAGAAGTCTTTAAAAATGCAAAATTTCACAGAAAAGGGGGAGAGGCGGTCACCTCGACCAACCTAAAACTGTCCATAGCCGCTTAACAAAACTTGACGGGCTTCGAAGGATGTTATATAAAGCTCTTGCACAACAGGGCTTCAGGTTGTCTCGTTTGTCTCGACTCAACCCGTTACTGAATTATC